TGAGCTTGATGGCTGCGGTGATATGAATTCCTTTGCATAATTCTGCGAAACAACCGCTGCTCTTATCGATGCTTCCATCCGTCCGTTTTTTAAAACAAAATGTCCCATCCACGGGGCCAACCAAAGCGGTCTCATCAGCTTCTTCGTTCACGTTTGACTATTGTTCACTGTGGTTTGTTGTTGTTTGAAGTCATCAACGTTAGTTGGTGCTCCAGTATAATCGGTACCCCTGAAACTCATCCAGTGAGAAACGTTCCGCGGTGCAAAAATAAGTGCGATTAAAATGCGTTAATTTTTTTAACGCGTTAATTTTTGTGTAATTAATTAATCTTAATTAATGCGTTAAAGTCCCGGCCCTAGTTATTTTTGTACCAAATGTTGTTACTGATCAATTTAAAGGTTGGTTTATTGAGCCTTCAAGATTTTTCTTTTGAAGTGCCAAAGTCCTTAACTGTCAATGGAACTTAACGAAAAATGCAAAGTTATGTAAATGTTCAAAAGTGCGGAGAAAGTTCAGTCGCGTCTGATGCTGCTATGCTAACCATATAATTGACATCTAGAATCTCTGTCTATAGTTTTATTCTTTTGCATTAAATAACGTAATCTCAAAACCCTTGAAATTGCCTTCTTTTTTACATAATGGACCTCTGTGTTGCTATGTTTTTCTAGCAAGTATCGCAAAAAGTTCTAACCTGCAATACAAGAACAATGCTGCCCACATTTTCACGTCACGTAATTTGTAAGATTGCAGATTTTTCGCCACTAACCTTTGTTGTCTATCTGCAAATCATCAAGATAGAAATCTGTCTGCCGGTTGCCAAGGACAAAGGCCAAGAAGGAGAGGATGAGGGCGTCCAGGATGCCCATGATGGCCAGCATATAGGCCCAGCGTACCGAGCAATCGCCCAGTGAGTATTTCCCGGCATGCTCCCCGCACATGTCCCGGATCACCTCGGCGTCCCATCCGTCGGGGAAGATCATGCAACCCAGCACCAGGCACACTCCTGCAGCAGGTCACAGAGAGGAGAGAATCAGGGTTATAGTGTTGGATATTTAGAGTAGAAGAGATTTTTAAAGTTTCAAACACCAGAGAAGATAGGAAGTTCAGTTGGTTAAAGGGAATAGGTGGATTTGGTGGCTGGATTTTCATAAACCAGCAGGTTTAAAATGTTGCTTTCCTTAAGTATTCTGAGGCCATTACATTCCAGAGGGACACTTCAACATGCCTGTTCTGTAAGCTGATACATTTGGGCAGTGTGCTTTATTCAAGGAGCAGACTTCAGTCAAGTTTTCTCTCATGTCTTTTGACACTAAAGGGTCAGGACAGAACAGAATGAAAGGAAACAGCTCTCTGTCAGGTGTATATGGGGGTAAACAGTGAGACATAGAGAGATGGAATACATGTAAGTACTGTATAAATTCTCCCCCTGTAGACATCTAGTATGCGTCAGAATTTTAAAACAACATACAAACAAACAAAAGTGAGTGTGCAAATAGCCACGGACACATGCAGTACAAAGCCTCTCTAGGGAAATGCTTACATGCCATTTCGACACTACAACAAAAATGGTAATCTATACTTTACACCTCTGCTCATTCATCAAAGTGAGCATCACTGTGGAGCTGATGGGGCCATTTGTACTTGCTCAACCAGCATTGTTTAAACAGCATTCAGCCTGTGCCTGAAGGGCTGTAAGTAAAGCACTGGGCTCCATTGGGAGATGGGGAACACACATGGCAGACGTCACACTGAATCTCCATTCCAGACTAGACATGTCTTTTCCACGGGCAACATCACTTGTGATACACATAAAAAGGTCAGACAGATTTGGCTGAATTGGTGATTATCCTAGTTTTTTTTTTCATGATCTTCAATTGTGAATGTTTAAGTGGCCATATGTGTCTGTTTATGTTGGGCAGCATTCAGACACAGTTGTTCCTTTGTGGATCGAGGCGTACAGTAACACAGAGAGATCACTGGCTAGAATGTACTCAGAGGATTCTGCTAATCTCCATGCGAAACATATGAAGCTGAATCTTTCTGGTGGCACCCAAGCCTAAAATCTTAACAACAAGTTTGGACACACAACCGATACATTCTGTTTTAGATGAAAAAAAAAATTTCCCAAACGTAATGCAAAATTGCAAAGAAATAGCTGATATCAAAAACAATGGATCGTACCTCATAGGGGAAGGCCCAATTTTTGACATGCGATTCCAAATTACTCACATATAGTTACTCCAATATTCATCTATTTTTGTACTCATATGGGATTTGACCTCGCAAACATTTTTTTTTTACTAATTTGCCCTATTTTGAAAAATGTCAATTAGGGTTAGGGTTAGGGATTTGCTGTATTTTTAGCTGACTTTTTAAATTCCTCCTCGAGACTACATTGGAGAAATGTCCGTTTAACTCGCAATGGTTTAATTGCAATTTATGTGCACAAAATATATAAATTCAAGCACTTTCAAAGGCTTATGTATTTTTACGTTTATTTTCCAAAACTTTTAGAGCCTGGATTTATTTTTTACCTCAAATTCCCAAACTATCAAGGGGTTCAAGGTTCAATTGGAACCATAGATCCCTTTTGAACTTTGTCATTGTTTTTCAGCATTATAAATGTGAATAGTACAGTACAATATTACACACAAGGTACATTAATGCGATGTGCTACTATTTAGGATAAATACAGTTTTGTTTCATTGTCCTTTTCAGTATAGATCTTTGTGGGACTACACAATGTCATTAGTGAGCACAGTAAGCCCTTGGGGTAAACATGCATAAGCCAGCACTGGCAGGACAACAAATCCCCTTGTCTCAAACTCCATTTTTTTGTGTTTGTGGTTTGATGCCTGAAATATCTGTGATGAACAAAAGCTTAAGAGATTTCTCATGTAGTTCTACTACATAATATATGTCAGTAAACAATGATCCCACTCGTGAATGTCCGAATCTTCTATGTGTCAAACTTTTTTTGTTGTAAGTGACTAAATTAACTACTGAGCATCTTCACACTAAACATTAGCAGCCTATAGCTTAGCAGCCATGCGACCGTGAAGTGGTTAATTTATAGCCTAACGTAAGCTTTTTTTTACTTCAAGAATTATAAAGTGGTGTTAATGTGTGGAGATTATCACGCCGGACAAAATATGGTACATATGTCATTAATGATTGTTTGCTACAGGTCTTATTTTATTCAATATTTAACAGGGGGAGAGTATGACAAAGAACTCTGACAAGAAGTTAACAGGGGACGTTGGTTGAAGGTAACCCTATCCATTAAGCCACTGGATTCCCTTAATTTATTTTGTCTGAAAGGGGAAGACTGTTTAAAGTAGAAGATTGTGATGGATAGTTTGATCCAAACATTACATGCATTTTAAGAAAAGGCAGAATGGCAGGAAAATGTGTTTGTCGTGTATGAAAGTGATGGCTCTGATTCTATTAGACTGTCACATTAGTGATTCCCTCTGAAGGCCCTGTGTTTCACCCACCAGCCATCCATCATGAGAAGATGGTGGGTGGTGAACTCATGGCAAAAGATAAAGGAGGATATCAGATTAGTCACCACCTCTCTGTGTAAAGCAGAACACCATGCAAATATGAGGAATCTTATTTCAGACAGAGACCGTTTGAAAATGGGAATTCTCCTCTGACGAAATGATAGCAGGCGTAATGAGAGAAGGTAATGAGAAAAAGTATAATGACGATAATACAGTAACTAATGAGAGAATCAAAGAGCAATGGAACTAATCGTTGAGGGAAATCATTATGTTATTAGCTTATTTTATGACCTTTATACAAGATATTAACATAAACGAGATATGATAAAATAATTAACTGAGTAATGAGCTGCAGGTAACATGTTTTATGGGTTTGTTGGAGCATTTCAAATCACATTTTCTATATAAGATTATGTTTGAGCATGGAATATAATCTTAGTTAGTGATGTAATTTAATGTTGTGGAAAATACTAGGGTGTTATGAGTTGCTCCAGTCATTGGTTTGGTCAGTATTTGCAAAATCGTACTCATCTCTGCTAGTCATTGCAGTGATCTCGGAAATAGGCTACATTGCTTAACCCTCCTGTTGTCCTGGGGTCATTTTTGACCCCAAAAGGAAATCTATTGCTGTCAAAAATAGGTTTTTAATTCATCAAATCGTCTGAAAATTATAGGGGTGGTTCAATACTATGCTCTTCACGATTAAAATACATTTGAAGTAATTTCATTGAATTATGGGTGTTTTATTGTATTTTATAACACCTTGAGCCCTCTGGGGTCAAAAATGACCCCGCAGGACAAAGTGGAGCAATGGGGCACATTTTTTCAGCATAATGCTGCAACAACCCCCTGGCTGCTCCTCGGAGCACACACACACACACACACACACACACACACACACACACACACACACACACACACACACACACACACACACACACACACACACACACACACACACACACACACACACACACACACACACAGACACAGACACAGACACAGACACAGACACAGACACAGACACAGACACAGACACACACACACACACACACACACACACACACACACACACACACACACACACACACACACTTTTGATGTATAGGATCAAGCAATTTTTAGATCAACAAAAATCATAAACAAAAAAGATAAACGAAAAACAAACAGGCCTTTCTCACGGTTGCTGGGTCACGGGCACGGACACACACACACACGCGCACGCACGCAAACACACACACGCACACACACACGCACGCACGCACACACACACGCACACACACACGCACGCACACACACGCACACGCACACACACACACACTTG